TTACACATTTTTGCTAGTGCACATATTTATAAATGCATTTACTTAACTTATGTAGTTCCTTTGTCAAGACCTGATATTGTATGTCTATAGATTGATAAAATAACTAAGGGGAAGAAGCTGCCCTGAAAATGAAAGTGCTTTTAAAACTGAGGCTTGAGTAACAGTTTAGAATAGTCATTCTAAACCAATTAGCTACCTCTCCAGCCCAGTAACATCACTGAACAAAAACAATCCTAATAGCTGAAGAAGTTTATTTTATAAAGAACTTGTTTATGTTGCAAAGTTTAAAAATGACACAGCATTTATAAGTACTATAGTGCATACTTTCTGTGATTATAATCTTTCGAGTTCAAAATAGCCTAACATTTCAGGATTTTAGGGTGACGGTATCCTAGTGCAATAAATACCTAATGGTACAGAACATTATTACAGTAAGCTCTGCAAAAACTTTACTCATAACAATATGGTTATCAGCATTGTGGCAGCTTACCAGACATGAAGTTACAGAAATTACAAAGACTGCAGGAACAATAAAACTTATTGAACAATTATTTTTGGAATACCAAGCATTTGGATCTCCAAGCCCTGCAGAAAGGTTTTACTTATCGTTAGAAGAGAAGGGTAAACAAATGGAGGAATTATAAATATAGACAAATATCACACATACACACACACTTCAGGAATTCATTCACAACAATGCAACTCCATGCCACTTTGGGCACCCGACATAAAAGAGCAACAATCATGTAGCAGCAACAACAATGATAATGTATTTTGCTCTGTACATGCAAACTAGCACAAAGCCGGCCTGGCTGAGTGAGAACATGATTTAGAATTTTTCTCTCTGTGTTCTTAATATACTTAATGGCTAAGAAAATTAGTTTCTTTAATAATTTTTTTTCTGTAAGAACTCAGATTTTTCAAACAGATGTATTCACAGATGAGGGGTGTGGAAAGTCTGTGCGTCTTATGGAGCGAAGAAAACAGATTATATTTTCCTGTTTTCTTCTCCTAAAAAATTGGTGCGTCTTATGGAAAGGTGCGTCTTATGGAGCGAAAAATACGGTAATTTTTTTCTGTAAGAACTCTGATTTTTCAAACAGATGTATTCACAGATTTTTAATGTACATTTTTAAGTTATAAGCTTTTTGTATTTTCAGGTTATAAGTTCCTTCATTTTTAAATTCAAATATAATTTCTGCCTGCAACTTCAGTTTTATTTCTTATTTTCAGCCTTTCATAGTTGTAAAACTTACAGATGGCAATATATCTTCAGGTATTTGTACCTACAGTTTTTTTCATAACTGTAAGATTGTTGAATATTTGGGAATTTACTTTGGGGAATATCAAATATAGAAGCAATGTAGATAAATATAGCATGTAAAATTACACAAGCTGATGTTGGCTGGAATCATTGCAACAGCAAAAAGACATATACTGCGACACTCAGATAAACTTAGGTATCATTATCAGTGTTTGTTTGGTTTCACTCTGGAATTAATTCTTAATTCAGATGTGATTAAAGCAGGATTCTGATTTTACCTAGAGGTCTATACAGTTCGGTAGGTCTCTTAGGGGTATGTTCAGGCATCAGGTTATCTGACCCATAAATCACTATACAGTTCGGTAGGTCTCTTAGGGGTACGTTCAGGCATCAGGTTATCTGACCTGACACCCCCATAGATTAAACTGTTTTTGCATGTATTCTTTCAGCTGTGCATGTTTTTGGCAATGTTCATGTCACCATATATTTGTTATTTTACGCTCACTTCTGTTTCTCCAAAACATTTTATTAGCCTTGCAAGTTGTGGAGTCAACATAAGATTGTTGAATATTTGGGAATTTACTTTTGGGAATATGGAATGTAGAAGCAATGTAGATAAATAAAGCATGTAACATTACACAAGCTGATGTTGGCTGGAATCATTGCAACAGTTTCTCCACATCAGCTCCCTGCCCATCGGAGTTCTGGTGCACATAGAGGAGATGCCTTGGTAGAACATCTTTCCTCTTCTTCACATGTGTTTCTTTGGTTAAAAAGACAGTGGAAAGGGTGGGCTAACAGACTTCTCTCAACACATGTGGGCTCCAAACATTGTACAGTGTGACTGAAGCAAAGGAGACCATTGTCACCTGCACTTTGTAAGCAATATTACACAAACAGCTTACATCCTTGTATCAGTTGAGAGTGAAAAAGGAGGTTCCAGCCTTGAGCTGTTAATGATAATGCTGGACAAGTAATCATTTGTCAGACGAAGCAAAGGAGACCATTGTCACCTGCACTTTGTAAGCAATATCAAGGCTACAGCTTACATCCTTGTATCAGTTGAGAGTGAAAAAGGAGGTTCCAGCCTTGAGCTGTTAATGATAATGCTGGACAAGTAATCATTTGTCAGACTTAGAAAAGGTAGCTGTGTTAGTCTGTGCAGAACTGTGGCTTCAACTGAAAAAGTAGCCAGAACTCATTTAAGTTCTACTGATTTCAAGTGGAATTACATGCAATTTAGTCTGACTCCAGGACACGGAGTCTGTGCTGAGATTTCTGCCTTTCCCTTGTTTCTGTTACAGATAGACTTTATCCAAGGTGTGCATACTGTATTATTGAGATGAATGGATCTCATACAGTAATGGGAGACTAAGGGAAAGATGCTCAAAGGTTAAAAAAATTCCTGCATTACTTTGCTTCAGATGAGTTTACGTTATTTGTTCTGCTTTTTACAATTTGTTCACTCGCAAACAATGAAACATGCTGATATGTAAAGCTGCTTTGTATTTATTCATAAAATTATACTCACATGTGAAATTTTTCAACTCATAAACCACTAGGACTTCGCTACTGCTCTGGATGTCCAGCCAACACAATCTTTTAAAACTTCCTACTCTAAATCAGTAATAGATCTGCTAATATAGTTTCACATCACCAAGCTCATCACAGAATACTTATTATAATTCAAAAAGTGTGTCATCTGAATGCCCTGAATAAGTGATAGCACATGCCATTTCATCATGCAGTAATCAGAAAAATCTGATTTTGCTCAGTGATTAAAAAAAACCCTCTATATCATTAAAAAGACACCACGGGGAGGGGGGCGGAATAGGAAACTCTGGAAACAAGAACTTTACATTTCTGGTTACATTTAATCTTTCTTTATAGACCTCTCTGGGATGCACTGATGGCATCTTCATAAACCGAGTAAGAGACAAAAAAACCCCCCAAGCACCTGACCTATTAACCCGAGTCCACAACATGTCTACTTTCTACTCATCACAATATATCTTAGTAACTGGCATCTAAACATCACTTTAAACTGCAAAACCATTGACTGATGTCCATGTTTCCTTCCGACTAGCACCCAAACTACATCACATAATCTTCTACAACCAAGATCCATAATAAAAACCCTGTAAGGCTATCAGACAGGATAATCACACTGGCTTTTGAAAGAAAGAAAAAAAGATCAGCATTCAGCATTTTTCAAAGTAACTGTTAGGTATCTGGCTGTGGAGCCAATGACTGGGAGTTCGATTTCAGACCGTGCTTCTAAGTCGAACAGTAAAGTAACTGTTAGGTATCTGGCTGTGGAGTCCATGACTGGGAGTTCGATTTCAGCCCGTGCTTCTAAGTAGAACAGTCACCTATGCAGCTTTGGACAAACTGCACAGTAGCAGGGCACACCAGAAGAGGGGAAAAGAGATGTCTTCTAGCCTATGTAGCTTTGGGCAAACTGCACAGTAGCAGGGCACCCCAGAAGAGGGAACAAGAGATGTCTTCTAAGTACTGTTTACCTAGAAAACCCTGGGAAGCATGGTCATAAGTTGGAATAAACTTAACAGCATGGGAACTAAACTAGACTAAATTAAACTTTCAAAGTACAAATCATATCCATTGAAGGGTACTACATGTGTATTTCGGCACATAAGTAAAACTCTTTGATCTTGATGGCACTAGGGCTGCTAAAGTCTGTGAGCCCAGCTTTCATTGCTTTTCCTCTCCCTCACTTGATAAACAGTCGTATTTCACACATGCCATAATTTGTGACTTCTGTTTGGTTTTCAGTTCTGTAGACATTCCAGCAACAGACACAAAACCAAGCAAAAGGGGGGAGAGAGAGAGAGAGAAGAACTTTGAATACCAACTGTAGGCATTAACATGGTAAATGTGAAATACAACCAGCCTCTCAAGAGTCTAGCATGAATATTTTACAGTGTTAATCTGTGTTTTCCACCTCATATGTCTGATGAAATGGTCTAAGAAGGTCCATGGAAGCTTATATTAAAATGTAATAATCTTTAAGGTGCCACAATGCTTTTGTCTTTTTCATTTTTCATTTGTTTTTGCTTGATATGCTTGTATAGACTAACACAGCCATCCCTTCTAAAACTATGTAGATATGGATATCAATACTTTATTTATAAAGTCATTGATGCATTCAACACATGCAGCCTTATGGAAGACTTAAACTTCTTGCTAAAAAAAAAAAAGATTTGTGGCAAAGCATATGACCTTCTCCCCACTGCAATGGCTATCCCCTAATTAGGCAATGCATCTGATAGTCATTAACAGGAATGAGATAATGAATCACTTTCTCTCTTCTTTGTTAATTTGCTGTAACCAAGCGGCTAATGGATGTCAGAGCTGAGTGATTGCACTGATTATAGTGATTTATAGTTGCAACAAAACAATTTAAAACCATTCTGATTATTCATGTTAAAGATAGTTTACGTTTTGTTTACCAAATATTTTATATCCCTTTTCGATCCCAATGCAGTTTGCTTTACCCAAAAAAATAATTCTTTGTGAAGACTTTAAAAGTTTCAGGATAAGCTCTCAATCTCTCTCTCTCTCTTTCGTATTGTTTCAGAAGACATTTTATTTTGTTTATAGAAAAAAATTACCCAGTAGAAATGAAAAGCCTTAGGGTGGAAACAGAACTTCAGTGGTGCCTAGTTCAAAAGGAAGAGGAAATAAGAGGAAATAAGGCAAACTTCAAGCCACTTACCTTGGGGCTCTCAGTTCCTTCCTCTTGCTCTACAGACACATCAGTAGCCAGTATCTCGGCTTTGATGATACCCAGAGCCCTAAGAATCCAGCTGTGTTGTCGTTTGATTTGCCTCTGTAGTTCTTTCCATTGGCCTGCAATCATCTGCAGCATGTCCTTCAGTCCTTCTCCCAAAAGCAAGAGAAAACAAATGGTCATACATTTAAGTTCAGCTTTCAATAACATTATTTATACAAAGGATAGCAAAGAATTCCAAGGTAGGAACAACAACAGCAACAAAAACCACAACCAGTCCCTTCTCTTTCAATATTTGGGGATGCTCTCTTAAGGAATTCTAACCTCCATAGCTTGGAAAACAAAACAAAACAAAACAAAAAACTAGGGCCAAAATGTGGTGCACAAAGAGCATGCTCTGATTGAAGGTAGCAAAGAAAAATAAGGTAATAAATAATTGATAACTCATGTATAGAAGGTATAACAAAAAATAATCGTGCTGCAGCCAATTCCAGAAATACTTGTGCTGCTGCTCTTATTTTCCACTTAAAAAAAAAAAGTTATTTGATAAATATGCAATGACCTATTAGTCAACAGATTTTGAGATCTAAACACCATGCCACAACCTCCAGGGAATTATGCAAATCAGCTAAATGATTTACTATTCCATCAACATGTGCAAGGGGAATCTATTTTAGATTCTAGAGTACCCTGTGCAGGTAGGTTGAAAAGTAACAGATGGAAAATCTTCAGTTTTAATGACACTAAAACAATGGGCATAAATAGACATTTTAAAGAAAATCAGCCAGGCCAAACTAAAAGCTGCTACAGTATTTCTAGGAATCTAGAGTGTAATGATTAAAACCATACTATTAAATTAGTCAGGGCAGAGTTTTTAAAAAATGACAAAAGTTATTATTCATCCTGACCTAAGACTTATACTGAAAAGGACAACCATAATTAAATGGAGGGCGGGGGGAGAACCCTATTCCTAATTTTAAAATCTTTCCTAATAAATAGTTGAAAATTGCTGCAAGAATTAGCTTAAATGGCAAAGGAGCCTTTACCAGTGCAATTACTCATGCTGGCTATGTAAAAATATATATGTGTATAGATATGAAATCTTAATTTATCATCTTAATGTTATTTCCATAGCACCTACATCAAAGAACATGTCAGCGTGAAGTTTTCAGTGATGTAATTTCAATTGAAACTCAGCTGAGCAGCAAGACCAAAATAAAATGAACAGACTATTTGCTGGCAGTATTTCATTTTCTAAGTATCACAGCATTGTATGCAGTATATGAAACATTTATAAATCTTGAAGGTCAAACTGATAATGTAAATATTAATAATACATAAGGAAGTGAATATATGCAGTAATTTACAGCAATGCTTCTTTATTCTTTAATAGTCCAGAGACATAAAGACTTGCAATATTTCAGGAGGATTTACCTGATTTGTGAGATACTATAAGATCAAGAAGTTGCCGTCCTTCTTCAACAACAGCTTCCTTCAAAGCACAGTGGCTATCTACATTCAGCTTAAAGCTCTGCAAGGAAATGTATGTACTTATATTTATACAAGTATCAAATGGGAGAGAGGCGTTTCAACATAATACACACATATTAAATTGCTTATGGCTTTTACCCAGAACCCTATTGCCATTTACCCAACAACTAAATTTGTTTGCAAGGGGTGGGAGCTATTGATATTACAGAACTGAGCTCATAATATTTCCATGACACTAGCAAAGTGCTTCATCTGTGTTGTAACAGCAAACACAACTAGAAACTGCTGGATACCTCAGTGATTTAGTCATCCGGCTACAGAGCGAGAGCTTGGGGGTTTGATTCCCTGCTGAGCCTCCTTGACAGAGACTGGTCTTGATGATCCATAGGATCCCATCATTCTATGATGATAGTGATGAGATGATAGTGATGACCAAATCCATTATGTCTTTTAACCAACGACAACCCTTACGCCATATCTGGAATAGCAGCATCCCATGAATTACACAGGTAGTGACTCTGTGGTGACTGAGCTGGAGTCACCACAGATGATTAGTCTTTTCTAGATATATTTCAGATAATGGTAATTAAATTATCTGGCTTAAATCCAACAGGATATTACACTGTCCACCATTTCTCTTCCCCCATTCCATCCTTCGGAGTGTCTGAAAAAGCTCTTGATGGTTTCTGCTCCTCCCAAGCAGGTTTTGAGGTGGAGATGGGGGCTGTACTAGAGAGGGTGTAATGTTTCTCTCCAGTACTACTGGTTTTTACTCTTGAGCCAGCAAAAATCCAGCTTAGGATGCATTCCTTTATCTATAAATATATACAACACAGATTAATGTCAATTAACACAAAGTTAATACTACTAATTTGCTGGAGGGTCCATTCTCCTTCATACTGAAATGGTCAAGCTTCATTAGATTTGTTTGGGCTTGACAGGTACAACTAGTATTACTCTTTCACTATAGCCTACTGCATCCAGAACAATTACTATACAGTGGGGTCTTGACTTGAGAACTTAATCCGTATTGGAAGGTGGTTCTCAAGTCAAAAAGTTCTCAGGTCAAATCTGCATTTCCCATAGGAATGCATTGAAAACCATTTGATCCGTATCTGCTCTTTTCCGTCCATAGAAACTAATGGGAAGCTGCTATTCTGCCTTCGTTTTGCACTTTCCCTGCCTCCCACGTGTTTTTTTTTCAGTTCTTAACTCAAATCTAAGTATGTAAGTCAAGTCAATATTTTCCTATGAGAGTGGTTCTTAAGTCAAAATGTTCTTAACTCGAGCCGTTCTTAAGTCAAGACCCCACTGTATTTATTTTGATAATAATTAAGTTCATTTTGACAATTACAAATTAGAAGCAGAAGAAAGAAACCACAGAAACTTTATGCAAATGCTCACCTCGGATTATGTGATATGGTAGGTCATAAACCAGAGTTTACAAATGAAGACCTGCAAAACTTAATTAAAGCAATCTATTTTAGCCAGAGCACAACCTATTAGTTCTCAGTCTTACTAGCCTTATTCTGGGGTGAACTGTCACTCTCCCACTCGTTTTTCCGCCAAGGGAAGAAAGACCACTAGAAATGCTATGTGTTGGCACCAAAGTTCTGAGCACTATCTCACCCTGGCATCAGAGAAGAAGACAGGTATGCCCAGAAGGAAGAGCACCTGGCAAACAGCAGTCCTCTGTCATGTCCCCAGGGGAGTGGCTCAGATTGTGTAGGTTCAGGTTAATGTTGACTATCTCACCCTGGCATCAGAGAAGAAGACAGGTATGCCCAGAAGGAAGAGCACATGGCAAACAGTAGTCCTCTGTCATGTCCGCAGGCGAGTGGCTCAGATTGCGTAGCTTACTGTTCAGGTTAATGTTGGGAAGACTTCTTCCCAAACAGCATGTATCTGAAGAAGTGGGATACAGTCCATAAAAGCTTACACCAAGTGAACTTATTAATCTTTAGAGTGCCACAAGCTTCTTTATTGGTTTTGCTGCAGCAGACAGCAGATGAACATGGTTAGGAACTCAGGAAAGTGCTTGTGTGAAGGATACAAACTGTACAGGTGGGGACAATGTGCATTTAGAATGCTGATTGGCATATTGCTTTAAAAATGGAACGAGCTTAGACGCATGCAGTGCATTTGACACAAGATATTGGAATAGAACTTTATAACAGCCTGAATACTATAGGAAATGTTGCAGGAGATTTAAAACAAGAAAAGGGTTATTGTGAACTTTTTTTCATTGTTGTGGGATGTACCGGGACTAGGATGATTGTGTGGGATGTACTAGTTTGGTGGCGCAAACGATGAAGAATTTAGGGACTAAACTGAATTCATGCACTTGTATATTCACTACATTCCTCAATTAATCATGGTACAGTAGATATGAATTACACACTCCTATGGGAAAGTTGGCGTTGGTTCAGAATACAAGCGAGGACTAAAAGCACGCTCTGTGACTGACTTTTTAAAAAAACTGATGGGTGTCTGTCTTGGCATTTGTGCAGTTGGAAAATCTGTTTTAGAAAAAAAAATACTTGTGCCAGCAGCTTTTAGTTGCTGGCCTATTCCTCTTCCCCCCGCCCACCTGCCCAAGTAACACCATCTTCCCTTGTCATGTAGTTCAGAAGGCTAAGATTTTTGACAGCTCAGAGTTCTTCCATCAGTTACATCAGACTTCTGCTGCTTGTTGCCCTGCCCTCCACAGGCACTGGATTACAACTCTTAAGAAGTTCCAGGCCACTTTTGAGAAGTTGTACTCCAACACATCTGGAGACAGCAGTAGGTTACAAAATGCAGAATTACATAGAAACAAGGCCGTAGTTGCAACGAGGCAAGAGCTGAAATCACTGGTCCGGTTGGATGGATTCTGGGGGATGTCATCAAAAAAGTAATATTTTCCAAGCTCTTGCTTCAATACAGCAATTAAAGGCACAAGAGATTTATCTTCCTCTGCACTGTGACATCCTCATTTAAAAGGCTTGGAAAAGTTACATTTTTAAAACTCCTGTTCCCCAAATCATGCTGGCTCTGCTAGCTAGGTGGGAATTCTTATGCAAAAAGGGAACTTTTACAGGCTCTGCTAATGAGGAGTTAATCATAGAAAAAGGGTTCTTTCCTCCCTACAAGCCTCCAAAACATGCCAATGCTGAAATAAACAACAGCCATGCGCTGCTATTTTTGTACTTTGTGGTACTCAGTTTCTCATGTAGCACTAAAAAATAAGTACTTTCTATATTTTAAGTACCTATTTTAAACACGCTGTTTTCAACAAAATTATTTTTATTTAAAACTGAAGAAGCCTGCACCCATGATTTTTTTTAAAAAAACATATCAAGCAGTGGTATGAAAGTGTGATGACATCAAAAATATAAATTGGGTGAAGTATCGAAAAGGAAGGAGGGAAAACCCATGACTCTTTGTGTCACTTCTTTCCTTAAAGCTTCACTTTTCATGAAACCTTTTCTAGAAGTTCTTTTCATAAAAGCGAGCTTGAACGAGGCCTGACAATATTTAATTTACTGTTTACTTAAAACAGGCTGGGGCTGAATAGTTCGTAATCATGCATTTCACGAGAGATGCCACGCAGGCGCCTCATATAGCAAAAGAAAACGTAAAGGACCCAAGAGTAGGTTGGATAATTTCATGTAATTGAAGCGGAGCATTGATGCAGCTGGCTAGGGCTGCGGCTTCAAGATGATATGGATGTGTTTGATAGGAAAATTGGGAAAGATGAGGTATTCTTCTTCATTAGAAAAAAATAGACTTTGCTGCCTTGGAAAAGATTCATTAAACATAACACATCAAGTATACAATGTGGCTTGATTTACAGGTGCACCTATTAACCAGTAATAATGTTGACTGAAGGAGTAAAATATGATGAATAAAGATGGACCAAAACTCTGGGGCTTGATTTGCAATTTTACAGTTGCAGAAAACTCTGACTTGGTGCCTAATTGGCTGCAAAGCACAAATAGCAAAATCTGGCAATAGATTAACCAGTAACACATTGGTCTTAAGGGGGAAAGTCTTTTCACAAACTGTGAGGATCGTAGCAAACAAGAGCAAAATAGATGGTAGGTGGTTTCTTGTTACATTCTTGCAAATTCAGGTGTGTTCCTTTTTCTGCCGCCAACTCTGGGAGGAAGTGGAACTTGTCGCTTCAGATCAACGCACAAAGAAGCTCTAGTGGTAAGAGAACAATTCTACAGGTGGGAGAATAAGTAGACAGGCAGTTCTACCTAACTAGCCACTAAAGATTGGGTGGGTGGGAGGAAACAGTATTCCTTTAAACTAACAGTGATAAAAAGGTTTGATTGAGTGAAGCACGAGCGCTCATCTGTAAAATCTGGTGGGGTTTGTTTTCCTCCTGTCTTTTCAACATGAACACATGGGAGCATATACTCAGGAAATGAAAAAGTGCATCACAGGCACTGCTTTCTTTCTAAAGAGAAAGGAAATTAACTGGAACATTACACGTAGAGTGAGCCTGCAGGAGATGACAAGCCAGAAACGCTTTCTTCTCTTGTTCAAGCAGCAGGCTGGTGCTTGTAGCTTTATCTCTCCAACTTGTAGTGCACACAGATAAACCTGGTTTTGTTTTAGTTTTTTGTTGATGCACCCTATCACCTGGCAGAAGGCAGCTCACCTTTGCTGAGCTGTTCCCTCCCCACAAACCAGAGAAAGAATCTAGGGTTTGTCCTTGGTTTGATGTGGGGCCGGGGCGGCGCCAGGACAAATTTAAAAAAATGCTATAAACCATTCAGTGGATAATAAGCTGAATCTGAAACAAATTTCCAGATTTATTTATTTTTTAAGCATGCTTTTAGTTGCTGTTGCTGCCAGGGGAGCAACCAAAAAATGTACGCCAGCAAGGAAGGATACCTGCAGACCTCTGACTTGTTGTATTGTGAGAATTGACCTATATCCTTTCAGAAATGCAGATCTTTCAGTAACTCACATGTCTGGGCTTTGAGATGACATCCTTCAACTGCCTTCTTTTATTTTACTATGCTCTACTCTTAGTGTCAGGTTGTC